ATATATATATATATATATATTTGTAGATGGCTGGTGTATATGTATGTGTAGACAACTGCTTCTTTCTACTAAACTCTAGGGGAAAATTTTACTGAAGAAGACACTGACTCATTTAATGTTAGGGGGTTACTGCTTAATACAAGAAGGAAGGGCTGTTTCTGGGGTGTATGTCTCAGATGAACAACAGACCTTCTGAATTCTGTTTGCAATAAAACTGCACTCAATCTTTAGAGGATGTAGTAGTTCACAGAATTTACTGTCAAGCTACAAGGATGCCCAGAGATTTGGTTAGGGAAAGATGCAATCAAAATAGTGGGTGCCTATCATTTCACTGGGCTCAGATCCCAAAGTAGGTGACTTGAAGCCTTTTCTTTGAGCCAAATCTTGGATTAGAATCATGAAGAGGTGTCAGGTAAGGAGAAGCCAGTAGGACGGCCACGGACCAGGTAAGATTAGTGTAGTTCCTTCTCCTGTTGTTAATTCATTTGTTTAACATATTGCAAGTCTCCCTAAAACTGACAAGGAATGTTCACGCACACCAAAAATCTCAGTCACCCTCACGTACTTCAAACCCATTGGCAGTCTGCTTGCTGGAAGGCACTTATAGTGATGGATGCCCGATGGCTGTTCAGAATTTAGCATATACTTGTGCCTACAGGCAAACACTCTGCTAAGTCACCAGGTCAACAACACTGAAGGACAAATCACTCTGGTATCTAATAATTATTACAGAATGTAAAATATTATTAGCAATAAAATTAAAAGGGAGACATATAGCATTTTCTCAATAAATGTTTAATTGAACTTGTATTTTCATTTCACATTTACTATAATGCAGTCTAAAAAGAGAAAGTGATAGAAGTCATCCTGCCTTCCTTTTTTCCTTTATGACATTAGGATACAACTGTATCAACATCTGATCTGTTAACATCTTTGGTGTCAAATGTCTATCTCTGTTGGACCAGTTTACTAGCAGGGGGGTCTCACTGCTACTGTTATGTAAAATTTAAGTTTCTGGTCTAAATCCTACACAGCAAGCTGCTACAGCAAATTACAAAAATACACTCATCTTGTTTAAGGGGGTGGAGGGCTGCAGCCAGTTATCAGAAACATGTGACTATAACTGTTCACCTATAACACAGTTAGACCATGGCAAGCAGACCAAAAAATTAACACAGTGGCGCAGTGGTTGAGAGTCCGCCTGCCGATGCAGGGGACACGGGTTCGTGCCCTGGTCTGGGAAGATCCCACATGCCGCGGAGCGGCTGAGCCCATGAGCCATGGCCGCTGAGCCTGCGCGTCCGGAGCCTGTGCTCCGCAACGGGAGAGGCCACAACAGTGGGAGGCCCGCGCATCGAGGAAAAAAAAAAAAATTAACACAATAGTCAAGAAAATTGGTCAAGAAAGTCTTTTTTTTAGTGTAAAAGTTACTTTTTATTAAAAGAGAATTCATGGTTTCACATGTAAAGAATCATATTATTCCTAACTATCTTGTACTGTACATAGAAGGCACTTAAACAACAATTGCGGAATAAACCGAATATCAGTCCATATTTCAAAAGGTAAAACACATTTTGTAAAAGAGCTAACTTTTTGTTCTTTTTCTAAATCTTTACCATAGGTGAACTTCACCACTGACTTCTAAAGAAAATACAAGATTTTTAAAAAGTTCAACTACTAGTAAACATAGCTGCAACTCTAACAGGAAATGGGGGTGAGTTTTCCTTCCTTCCTTCCTCCTTCCTTCCCTCCCTTCATACATAAATACATACATACATATTTACATACGTAAATAAAATTCAAAACCAACTTCAACAAACCTCTTTACTGACAGTTAAAGCAAAAAGTAGCAAGTATTACTGCAACTTGATTTCATGTCAGCTGTTGAAATACATGATGAATCCAATCTGACTGCTTACAAATTTGACTAATTTCAGAACTCTTTCATTTTAAAAAGTCTCTACTCAGCCATTTTGTGAGATGTTATTTTTCAGAATGAATTAAAATGCACCAAGAAAGCATTTCCAAACAATAAAGTACTGATGCTTGTTTGATCTACGTTCAAGTTGTTCACTCAGATTTTGACACAGGGAAAAAGGGCAGTGTCTATTTACTATTTACACTTCAGAACAGCATTTGGTATCACCGGGCCTAGCATATGCTGCCACCAGGCCTATCACTGAAGATTTTAACAACAGCAACAAACTACAACACATGGCAAAATCGATATTCTCCAACTTAAAAATTTCACTTTTTTGGTCTCTAGTGTAAGGATTACAACAGACCCACAGCACAAAATAACTGTTATTTCAGGAACTTCTAAAGTTTCTTCTAACATTTCCTAATTTATTCCAATAATTTTTAACTAGATGATCTAGTTTAGACAATGTAAATTTGTTCATTTTCCCTCAGAACATTTTGCTAGAAATGCAGCACTTTTTCAGACGGATCAGGTTATGCTTAACCTTCTGGTTTAAACTTTGGAGCTTGCCCCTCGAGTCTGAGAAAATTATGACTGACCTCGCTTTGTTACCGCCACTACTTTTTTGGTAGACATTCTATTTCTGAACATACTGTAAACAGAAACAAACAAACAGAAAGATTTTACCCTCACCAAACTTACATTTTTTTAGAACTTTTGGGATGGGATCCCCATCAAATATTTTACTTAAAACTGGTTTTCCATCATTCCTTTCTAATTGACTATTTTTTTTTTCTTCTTCTTTTTTTTTTTACAACAGGAAACACGATGCGATTGTTCTAGTTACCATTTCCTGCTTCTTACTGGTCAGAATGCCAGCGAGTCTACAGTGGTGCTTGGCTCTTCTACCTAATCACTCCTTCTTATTTATACTGGCACTCTACAACTAGTCTGAACTTTAAAGCCAAACAGATAACATTCTTAGTCACTAATTTTCCATGAAGACATGTGAGAAACTCTTTGAGTGACCCATTCCAGACCAGGGTGAAATGCTGGTCTGCTACCTTTCCAACTGGCACCATGCTGCCTCTGGGACATTCTTTATGGCCTGCGTTCCTGGACTGTGCTGCAGCTCTTTTTACTTTTCCTTTCTTTCTAAAAGAATGACACCTCCACTGGTGCTCCGAACTTGGAAACAAATGTATCTCATTGATAACAATCTTATAGTCAAGCAGCACATATTTACAAAGGATTTTAATAATCTTGAGTAACAGCCTGTTCGTAGGGACTGCTATCTACTGAAGAAATCACTTTAAGAAAGCAATGAGTCACAGGGGTGATAATAAACGGCCACAGTAACTGGCAGTTTAACAAAGGAAGAACAATGTAATATTGCTCAGAGGGAATTAAGATGGACCAGATCTCAGAGTATCAGCCACCGCTAAAATCGGGCTCACACTGAAACAAAACACAGCAGGACTATTTGATGCCATCAAGGTTCCCTGACTGCTGTTTTGTATACTGCGCTGATCGTGCTGACTACATATTAAGTATTTAATAACGTGAATAAGTAAATGAAGAAACGTATGAGGGCAAAAATAAATGCACTGCCATGGCAAACAAAGCGCTAGAACTGTCTGATGAACACAAGCAGGAAGCCTACTCTGCCCGAACTCAACACCTAGTAATCACTTTTTTTCTCACCTGGGTATATTTACACCTCACTCAACAGGAATGTCATTTAACACCGCAGGGCAACGCTGTCACAGCACAGGCCTCGTCTGTGAGGCCCGTTCCCTGAGAAGGTGTTTACTTCTCTGACATAATGTGCCTGCATGTGGACCAGGGTGGGAGAGCTGCTTTGGTTATGGCCTCATTTTATGAACCCAAAGGGACGGTGAACAGTGATTTACGTATCATTTCACTCAATTTTGTTTGGAAAACAATAAGCATGAGATACTCAATCATAATACTGTAATCACTAAATATAAAAAGGATATACATGTCAAAATAGGGAATATAAATAGGCAGAGATCACTGAATATTGTTAACAGAAGCCTGGTTTTTTTTTAAGTTTTATTTTATTTACTTTTTTTGGCTGAGCTGCGTGGCTTATGGGATCTTAGTTTCCTCACCAGGGATTGAACCCGGACCACGGCAGTGAAAGCCTGGAATCCTAACCACTAGGCCACCAGGGAACTCCCTGGAAGTCTAGTTTTCACACGCAGCATTGAATGAAACTCTTCTAACCTGCTTGAAAACCATACGCCCTTGTGGGCACCTAGACTCACAGTGAAACAGCTTGGCAGCCAGTGCTACAAGTGCTGTGCATTAGGACCCTGTCCACTCTGCTGGCAAAGAAATTCCACACAAGCTCCCTCCTTCTCCGAGTATTTCCTTTCCCTATCGCATGACCTATATAAGCCAGAGAGGGAAGAAGGTAAATATACACGTTGGTGTGCAAGAGTTACACTTCCTTGTCATCTTTTTTTTAATTAGAGGGGAGAAATGCTCATCTTCTTAATGACAGCTTGTGTGTGATTTCTCCGATATAGCTCAGCCAGGAGATAGGACTGAAGGCTCATATTTGGACTGACCAAGAGTTGGGGATTTGAGTTACACAAAGGCGATCTAGGCTGGATGGGGAAGAAAATGTACAGGTTTGGAAAGAGGGAAGGAATTGAGTTACTTCGGATAATGATGGAACTAGGGAGTAAGATTAAGAGCTAGGGTAAGAGATGGCACAGAAGGTGCAGTACTGAAATCGAGGTGTAGAGCTGGAGCAGAAAGGGGATGGTGGGGTCCAGGTGAGGATGACAAGCGAGTACAAAGGGTGGCAAGAGAAGGAGCCCCAAAGAAAAACAGGAACAAGAACAGGAATCAAGCAGGTCAAGGAACAGGAAGCTCCTATGTGTGATGGATGCATGGAAGGAACATTTGCATAAGGTACCTTGTATAAAAATAATTCCTTTCACTTTCATGTGATAAGTTGAAAATTCAAACTTGATTTAAATTCAAGACAAAACAAATCATTCTGAACATCACAGGCAAAAACACCAATAACTATTCAAATACTCACAATAAAGCGATGAAGTCCATAGTATAAGAGGATATCTGCTAATGTGAAGTTATATCCTGTAAGGTAGACTTTATCTTCAAGATATGAATTAAGATCCTAGGGGAAAAAAATTAAAAATATTAATTTAAAAAACAGTAATAATAAAGTTAACTATACATTTGACTTGAAACATTTAGAAGGCTATTAGAAAACACAATACTGACATTTAATTTAATAAATTTAATCTTTGACAATAATAGATTTGAATTCACTCAAAATCACAAATCCCATAACAATCAACTCATTTTTAAAAATAAGGTAAATATTATTAGCCTTATTTTAAAGAAATAAGAAAACATTAGAAAATGATATTCACAGCCATCTCTGATCATTTCAAAGACTCCAATTTTTTTGTGGGGGAGCATTTTGTAAATCATGCTCATGTTGGATTTATTTTTTCCATTAAAATATAAAAAGCTCCTCAACAATTCCTATTTTTTTAAAAAATTTATTTTATTTATTTATTTTTGGCTGCGTTGGGTCTTCACTGCTTCGTGCGGGCTTTCTCTAGCTGCAGTGTGCGGGCTTCTCATTGAGGTTGTGGAGCATGGGCTCTAGGCGCACCGGCTTCAGTAGTTGTGGCACACGGGCTCAGTAGTTGTGGCTCACGGGCTCTAGAGCGCAGGCTCAGTAGTTGTGGCGCATGGGCTTAGTTGCTCTGTGGCATGTGGGATCTTCCCAGACCAGGGCTCAAACCTGTGTCCCCTGCATCGGCAGGTGGATTCTTAACCACCGTGCCACCAGGGAAGCCCAACAATTCTTATGTTTTAAGAGAATTATAATTTATTATAATTATAATAACTATAATATAATTATTAATTACAATAAGTATAATCAATATCAATTATGTTAATATATCAATGCTATTAATGGTAATATTGATCATATTAATTATTTATTAATATTAATTAAATTAATGTTGTTAATAATTATTGTAATTATTGTTGCATTTTAATATATGTATATTTTTAACTTTTAATTGAGGTAAATACATGTAACACGTAAAATTAATCAAATTTTAATTTACCACCGTAACCATTTTTAGGTGCATAATGCAGTAAGTGTTAAGGGTATTCACACTGTGGTGCAATCAATCTTCAGAATTTTTTCATCTCAGAAAACTAAAGCTCTGTACTTATTAAACAACTCCCCCTTTCCCTCATCCCCCAGGCCCTGGCAATCACCATTCTGCTTTCTGTTTCTATGGATTTGACTATTTTATACATTGTATATAAGTAGAATCATATACTATTTGTGCTTTTGTGTCTGGCTTATTTCACTGAGCATGATATCCTCAAGGTTCATCCATGTTGTAAAATGTGTCAGAATTTCCTTAAGGCTGAATAACATTCCACTGTATGTATAGACCACATTTTATTCATCCATTCATCTGTCAGCAGACACTTGGGTTGATTCCACCTAACTGCTACTGTGAATAACACTGGCATGAACATGGGTGTACAAATATCTCTTTGAGACCTAGTGTGAATTCTTTTGGGTGTATTTCCGTAAGTGGAATTATTGGATCATATGGTAAATATGATTTTATTTTAACTCTTTTGATGAATCGCCATACTGTTTTTCATAGCAGCTGCACCATTTTACATTCCCACCAACAGTGTACAAGTTTTCCAATTTCTGCGCATCCTCACCAATACTTGCTATTTTGGTGTTTATTTTTGGTAGTAGTCAACCTAATGGATATGAGGTGGTGTCTCATTGTGGTTTTGATTTACATTTCCCTAATGATTAGTGATGTTGAGCATCTTTTCATATGCTTATTAGCTTCGTATATCTTCTCTGGAGAAATGTCTACCTGAGTCCTTTGTTCATTTTTAACTGGGTTCTTATTTGTTGTTGAGTTGTAGTTCTTAATATATTCTGGATATTACCAGATATATGATTTGCAAATATTTCTCTCCCATTCCATGGGTTGCCTTTTCACTCTGTTGATTTTTTCTGCTGATGCAAAGAAGCCTCACATTTCGATGAAGGCCAATTTATCTATTTTTACTTTTGATGCCTGTGCTTTTGGTGTTATACCCAAGAAATCGGTGCCAAATCAAATGACCTGAAGCCTTCCCCCCAGGTTTTCTTCTAAGAGTTCTACAGTTTTTGGTCTTATGTTTAGGACTTGGATCCACTTTGAGTTAATTTTTAAATATTGTGTAAGGTAAGAGTCCAGTTTCGTTCTTTTGCAGTTGGATATCTAGTTTTTCTAACACCCTAAAGACTCCAATTTTAAACACTATTTAAAGCTACAGAAAGTTCTCTGTCATTTGTTCCTCAGACAATGACCATCAATTTTTAAAAGGTTAAGCACTGAGCTCCCTAAACAGCTCAGAGGCACTTTTGAAGGAAAAAAAAATTTAAGTACCTGTTAAAAAAATTAAATAAAAAATTTAAAGGATCCTAATCTAAATCAGAAGTATTGTCTGATAGACCAGCATAAATAAAATCAATTAGTTTCCTGAGAAAAGAAAAAATCTAGACAAAAGAAAATATATTATATACATATTTTTGGTCCCTCTCGAAATTAACATGTAGTTTAGCAGCACAGGAATTTACATTAAATTACATTCACATGAAAGGAGACAAAAGATTCATCTCACCTTCAGAGAAAGATTTATAAATATCAGATATTCTCACAGGCTCCTCTAAAGACTAGTTATAAAACACTGCCCCAGAGGTCAACAGCATTCATTCTAGAAAAATTTCTTAAGCTGTAGAGAGAGAAGTCTGTTTTGATTCTCAAATCATATGCCAAATGCTTGGCACATAGTGGTTCAGTAATCAGTAAATGTTTGCTGAATTGAATCTGATCTCTTTGAGTTTGCCCATGCCTTCACTTAAAGACAGTAATTTTCAAAACGGTATTTGAATATGGGACTGTTAGGGGTGGTACAGACGATGACATAAAGGAACACGGACATAAACAGGGAAGCAAATGCATAAGAATCAAAATAAAATTGGGTAGAGAGGGTAAAATACACTGGTATATTACAGGCTACCACTTAAACTCTATAATAATCTGCTTAATGGAGATGGTTTTTCTTCAAATGTCTTCAAATGAAACAAGTTTAATAAAGCATAAGAATAAAATAAATATATCTACAATTAATGTTAAGCATTTTTAAAAAGGTCTGAAACAATAATTCAACACTGCTTTGTATAGTATATATATTCTTAAAATAGAATCCATATCTATATTTTAGTTATAAAGACTCTTTTAAGGTTATACTCTTTAGTTATAAACACTTTGAAATGGAGTTTCAAAAACTTTGAATAGGTAATATCTTTCTGATTAGTGATCTAAATCAAAATTTTCAGAAATTAAATTCTGATTTTTCAGAAATTCAGAAATTTTTCAGACATTGAATTCTGAAATTCAAAACAGAATTTCACACATTCAAAATATTCAGGGAACAGAACTAACGTCTGATGTTCATTACATTTTTTTTAAACAAGTCTTTCTGATGCCATTGCCAAACTTTAAAAAATATTTCCCTCTATAGAGTTCCACCTGATTTTTCTTTTTCCTCTTAATTACCTATTATTAAACCTTCTAATAATATTGAAAAAGCAGTATAATAAACAACTATATATCCTCCATCTAGATCCAAATTTTAGTGTATCATAATGCCTGCTTTCTGAAATTACACCTTAATTATGAGCCATTGTGGTTTTAACTCTGAAATGGAACTTTTGCAAGTAAATGAAATCCTTTCACAATATCCTTCGTAGGAAAATTTTAAAAAATAAGTAATAAAAATGGAAGTAGCCCAGTATGAAAACAGGCAAAGAATACATGTAAGCAAATTTTTAAAAATAATGAAGATGCTCATAAGCATTATGAAAACAATGCCACAGCATTAACATGTCAAGGAAAAAAGTGCAAAGTAAACAAAGAGATCACTTTTTGGTTTGTTCTGGTTATGAAACTGGGGTGGTAAAGAAGGAAAAGGGGTAACATCCAGGGCAGCAAGGGTTTTGTGGAAGAAGCCACTGTCAATACACTTTTCTGGAAGGCAGAGGAGCAACATAGCCTTAGACATATACAGCTTTGGCCCAACCACTTCCCTTGTAGGGATTTGCCTAAGGAAACCAATGGGAATGTGTGAAAATATTCAGCAACAATCCAACACTACGTGAGGACAGACTAAATCTTGGCACAGCTATGTGACGGAGTACTAACAGGTTATCAGAGACCGTGTAAGCGAGTATTTACGGACTTGAAAAGATGCTCCCGACATACTGTCAGTGAACAAAAAAAAACAAGTTACAGTGTCCAAGAGTGGCCCGTTTTTAAAATACAACACACATATATATATGAGAAAAGAAAAAGCATGTGAAGAACACGAAAGGGAGTCAACAATCCACTACCTGAGGACCAAACATAAGTGTTGCTAACAGTTCTCGCTCGATGGTGGGACTACAAATGTTTGAAATTTCTCTTATTTGCTTACTTATATTTCTTAAAGTTCTACAACAGATACTGCCTTTAAAATAAAAACACTATCATGAAATAGCAAAAAGCAAAGTAAAACAGTAAACAACCCTTTCTCATCTAGCCCCAAATCACACACACATCTGTCTCCCCCACTGGTCTGAGTTCTGTAAGGGCAGGGGCTGTGCCTAGTGGGTCACTGTATCATCAGCCCCTAGGACCGTATCCTACTCATCACTGTAGGGACAGATGAGCAAACAGTGGCAGAGCAAGGGCGACCACCCAAATCATCCAGTGCCTTGTACATTTCAAAGATGGTCATATCGCCAGCTGGATTCTCCCAGTTGAGATTTCAGATAATAATACTGACATATCCCAGACACAATGTTTTATACTTCTAAGCTCCTAATACCAAATCTCTGAATACGACTTTTGAACTTACACACTCAATTTCAATGAAATACTTCAGAATTAAATACTTTACTACTAACGCTTTCTTTTGGAAAACTGTAAGAGAGAGTTGTATTTACTTTTTATTTGCCTGAAAGCTCCCATTCACTTAGAGGGAAGACATGTTTGCTTCCCTTTGGGAATGCTGCCACTCGTGGATATTAAAAAAGAGTAGTTGATCAGGACAGACCTATAAAGGAAAGAGACCTGAAATTTATTTTCTACCAGTTCTATTGATGGTATCTGTCAGGAATACAGTTTAAACCATTTCTCCCAGAATGATAAATGAAAAACTTTCAGTACCATAAGATCTTCTTGTACAACTTATATTACCAATTTATATTATAATTGGAATAAAATTAGGAAACAGAAGGGATTCCTACAATGACATGTGGTTGTCTGGGTGATCTCTAAGGTTCCTTCAAATTTTAAGCTTAAAAACAAACAAAAAAAAAAACAATGCTTTATTTTTATATAATTAACAAAAATAATTTTATTTATAAAGATTTTTTATTCTTAGTGATTCTGGAGCCATATTTGGTTTATATTTTATATCAATAGATTCTTTAATTCTAACTTGACCTCTTTAGAAAGAAAATACAAATCCCAAAGCAATCAGTCTCAAAGGCGGGAAATGTGGGCTTTCTCAGATCAAATGGACAGATTTTTACAAACTACAACGCCCAAAACTTTGATTCCCCCTTGGCTTTAAGAAAGTACTTTACTGGTTAGGGAATCAGGACTGCAGAGTGGGGGAAATGAATATTAAGCCATCACATTAAAAAATCATACAAAGCTATTATTATTAACTATGATTAGTGCTGCAAAGGAAAAGCACAGGGTGCTGTGTTAGGAAAGAAAAGCATTGAGAACAAGGAAGTGCATCTGTCTGAGAGAGAGTAGCCAAGGACGAGCTGAGGAAGGGGTTTGTGAGCTGAGGGGCTGGCAGAGGCTGTTCCAGGCAAGGAGGTACCTATGTAACAAGGTAGCTCCTTGTTAGTTTGTACAGACTAACATGAGGCAGAAGGAAACAAGTAAAGAAAGCCAACAACTTCAGTTACTGAATCTCAGGGAAGAGACATCCTGTTATTAAGAGTTCACACATTTCAGCCTATAAAGAGACGTGGCGATACCTTCAGAACAGTGCGGATGTCGTCTTTACTGGAGTGTCCATCTACTTGAGTTACCCTGTATTCTAACCACTGTTGAACCACTGCTTTTTCCTCCGCGGTGCTCCCCAGCAAATATTCCTTGTTGGCCTGCTGGACTAGGTGAGCTGCTATGGTAGTCAATCCCGTTAGACTTGGACCATTGTTCGTCTGAAGAACTGGAATCTTAAAAAGAAAAAAAATTCTTCAGATAAATTTTAAAAACAAATACCATCACGACTGTAAGTTCTAAGTAATCGCTAATTCCCAAACTGTCTTTTCAAATACCCTTAAGATAATTAAATTACCTACAAATGAGTCAGGAAAATAAGAGTTACATAATTTACATTTGATAATAGATGCTTGATGCTATGAAACGGGTAATAACATTGCAAAAATTAGTAATGATGCTTCTGTATAATTTATAACTACATATGTACAAAAAGAGAAAATGGAAATCCTAATAATACCACATTAATTTTGATCAAGATTACCCATACCTTATTTAGCAAGGTGAATGAACATGCTTAAATAAACCCAACTTCTGTAATAACAAAAGTAAGAAACAGTTATAGTGAACACTGAATTCATGTTGATACAGCTAGAACCACCAAATGAGTTCTATCCTGGTTTAAGTGATATGTGATCTAATATAAATAGTTATCTCATTAACTAGGTGTGGACTGCGATGGTGATTTCCTTGCCATGGATTGCATATTCATCAATTTTGGCGTCATTTAGAGTGAGGTCACTGATTATAAAAGTCTAATAATAAAGTATGGGCTTCAGGTAATCACCTGAAAAACAATCCTACTTTCTAAGTTTCCCCTACTGTAACAGCAATCCGAAGGCTCAGATTATAAGAAATTGCTAATTAATTTAAATGTTCTTGATGCGCAACTAAGCGAAGCATTTTGAGAAATTTAAAAGAAAATGGAAAGTATCACCAATGGGGAGACTGATCAATTATAAACAAGTATACAATCTAAAGGACCTCAGGAAACCAAAAGAGAATATTTCCCCTGGAAGACGGCTGCTCTCTTCAGCCATCTGTTCAGTTCAAATAGCATACTGAACTCGGATGGCGATTTTCACTGTTGAGGGCCCTTTCACACTTACATCTAGGTCAATATGACCATGTGAAGTATACGGGGAGATTAACATTTTATGGATACAGATTCAAAGGTTACCTCCTAAACGGTAAAGGAAGCAACCAGAGGTAGTCTCAGCTTTCCACTTCCTCACCAGCTACTTTCCATTCATTACTTAGCTCCTTGAACTCTGACTTTTGCCTTCACCCTCAAATGAAACCATTACTTCTAAGATCACCAATAACCTCCTTTAAAAAAACGCATTAAAAGAAAACAATAGCAACTCACTGGGGATGCTGCCAGTGTTCCATTCCTTGACTGTGTTTGTGTGCATTTTATGGCAACTCATTTTATGGTAACTCACTGAGATGCGTGTGCTTTTAGGTAGGGGAAGGGAGGGAGGAAGGAAGGGTGGAAGGAAGGAAGGAAGGAAGGGGGAGAGAGAGAAAGGGTGGGGGGAGGAGGGGAAGGAGGGAAGGAGGGAGGAAAGAAAGACGGAAGGGAAGGAAGGAAGGGAGGGAGAAAAAAGAGGGAGAGGGAGAAAGGGAAAAAAGAGAGAAAGAAAGAGGAAAGAAAAGGACTCACAACTGCTGACTGTGGGGGTAAAATGACAATTCTAGAAAATTATTTTGAAAAACAAATTATCCACAATCCCATCACAGGAACTCAAAAAATTTCCGGTTACTTTCTCATCTAATCATTGTATCTCTTAAGACAGGTAAGTAATTTCCTCCTTAGTTTACAGATAAAGAACCAAGGTCACCAGGTTTGTAACGGCAGAGTCAGGGTTTCAGTAAAGTACATTTGGCTGGAAAGTTCATTCTCCTTCCTTTACGCAGCCTAAGTAGACAAACCTCATGCAGCTGCAGTCACGGGACACACACCACTTCACATTCACCTACGGTTCCATGGTCTTCAAAGTGATCACTTTCAATGGCTACATAAATAATGTTCCCATGTGCTGATGTACATAATTTAATAACCATTCTCCTAGAGCTGGATTCCTGGATTGTTTTCAAATTTTTATTATCGATAATATTGCAGCGATGCCTTATCACTGGCTATTGCTGTCAGTTGTCTTCCCCCCAAAATGAATAAATCTTACCATATATCCTCATCCCTTTCCCCAAACACATCAACGAAAACCTTCAATAGCTGTCCTCTGCTTTAAAAAAAAGAAAGAAAAAGGAGAACAAAGGTTTAATTAAAATAAAATAAGAAACCACACTCTGAACTCCACAGCCCTCACAATTGGGCCTCGAGCTACAACTCAGGATTTACTTTGCATTGCACCATCCACCGTATTGCTCTACTTGTTACCCCCAATTACCCCATCTTTCGTAATTTACTGGTCTTACACACTTCAAACACCAGCTTTTCACATAGTTTACAAACTCATTTTTAGAGTCAGGATTAACTTTCTCTTCCACCTCCTCAACAACGCTCTCCTCCATTTAGCAGCTCTTCTGTTCTGATTAACATGAACTGTCGATGACTACTTCTCATACTGGATCATAAGCTCTCTGAAGGCAAGACTCATGTTTGGCAACATCCCCGAAAAACAGAAACCAAACCAGGGAGTAGGGGCAGAAGGGGAGGAATCAGCAGGAGTACAGAGGCAAAAGCACAAGCTGGCCACTCTGGCTGCAGTGCCTACTCTGCACCCATCAGTGGGCTGGTCTCAGGCAAGTCATGTTATCCTTTCCAGACGTCAATCTAACTGACGTGTAAAAACTACAATACGACTGCTCTGGAGACAAGATTTTAAGATGGACCAAATGAGGAACAGAAAAAGTCACAACAAAAACCAAGTATCATTTAGAAAAAAATCTCAAAGGGGCAAAAAACGTACATAATCCAAAGTTGTCTTCCTACATTTTCCTCTGATACATTGATTCCTCCACCGCAACCACCCACCTAATAAAACACAAACGTCCTTCAAAGCCCTCAGAAATCTGAGTCCCTACACCCCACCAGGCAATCTCCAATCGCGGAACTTCCCCCCTCGATCTCTGCACGCTGCACACTGAACTTGACCTCACAAGGCCTCAGAAAAACCGAATCTCCCAGATTGCGCCAGGACTCACTACGTGATCTCTCAAACGTCTACGCTGCAATGCAGCACTTTTCAGTACTGTAACTAACACAGCTGCAATGCTTGTCCACCTAGCTAAAAATCAAGCTTCCTGAGGGGAGGGGCATGTCCGCCTCGACCACCTCCGTATCCCCCGGCCTAACACGGTGTACTCGGCACGCCGTTTGCTCTCCGCAGTCGCTGCGTAATTCTGAATGAAAAGTACTGTTACAGCAAATGCTGTCACTGAACGCACACGCGGGGCCTCCAGCTCGGTCTACCCGAGGGCTCTCTGAGGACCCCCTTGCTTTCCCAGAATGGGATGATGATGACAACTTCGCGGGAGGAAAAGTTCAGGCCAAGCCCGAGAGGAGCAGGTGCCCCCTCCTCCCTCCGGGAGCCAGGGCCGCAGGAGGAGAGCCGGCGGCGCAGACACGTTGTGGTGAGAAGACGCGCGGCATCCTCGCTCCGCCGCCTCCGCCCGCCGGCCCGGTCCCACCCCGGCTCAGCAGGCCGCGCTTCCGTCCACCTCTCCCCCTCCGCGCTGCCTCAGCTTCTCACCTGACGCTCGCCCTGAGCGCTGTACTTGTTGCCTTTACTGAGCCCCAGACACTTCTCCAGCAGCGTCAACTCAGCGGCCGCCGCCATCTTCCGGCCGAGCTCTCGGCAGGGGTGGGACCAGGTCAGCAAGGGTCTCCTGCATTGGCTGAGAGGGACGTTCTACTCTCACAAACGTCAGCGGCTACTGGCTGAACGGAGGGGGGCGTGGAAGGTGCGCCTGTGCGCAGAGGCGGGGCTAAGTGAGGGGCGGGGCCGAAGGCGGGTCGGGGGAGGTGTGACAGCTGGAGAAGGAACTAGCAAACCTCAGCGCTCCAGCTCAGGACTAGCAGTAGAATTCTGAATTTAAAGATTATCAAAGAACACTGGGTGTGTTAGATAGTGTCAAGTAATTTGTATAGCCCATTCAGCCATTACTAGTTTTAATGATCTTTATTTGCAATACCAAAAGATATAATGGCGATATAATTTATGTAGATATATTTATGTGTTTTATGTATATTTATGTTTAATTTGTGTGTGATAGTGATACAATTTATGTAGCTTTTGGTATATAAATAAACAATGCACAAAACGCTTTCTCCCTAAGATATTCTAACATCTTCAAAGTATAAAATGGGTAGTATATGTTGAACTTAGAATATTTCCAAAAGTTTTATGAAAAATGATTTCCACATTGAAGAATGAAAAAACAACGTGTGTATTAGTCTGAGAGAAATGGAAAGGAAACACAAGGTAGTTCATCACTAAGTCAGAGATATAGTTTAGTGGGGAATGCTGTCACTGTGTGACACCTTTCCTACCCTAAAATACTTCAAGAGTTAATTATGGCAGCAGACATAAATGTAAAGAAAAGAAAATTTGGCCAAGTCGACATAAACAAAAGACAAAGGATATTCCAGTATAAGTGGATTATTGTGCATTAATTATCTGTTTATTTTCCTTATACAGAGAGTTGAATAACTATTTCACTCCTTCCAAAAAGGCCAGTCCTCTGAGAGAATTCACTCATCTATTTACACGTTTTGCTTGCAATAAAATATTTAAAAACATCTGTACAGTTATCTAATTCCAATAGGCATTATATTTAAGATAAGCCTTGACCTAAATCACCTAACCTGAGATTTGATTTGAATTCCAGTATAAAGTATCAGAAAAGACATGCACCCAATGGTAAAAGTGATAACTCTGGGAGAGTAAGATTGGATATATGGGTGGAATATCACTTTTTAATTTATGCACTTCGATTTGAAATATTATAGATAGATTTTGTAATTTAAAAGAAAGTTGTTTGTTTTACAGTAGTTATAAGTTTATTTCTTCCCTTCAAGTCCTGAAGGTTTTTACATTGTTATTTATTTCTTGAATGGGTGAGAAGTTCACTTGATTTGAAATTCAAGGGCACAAAACAGTATACAATGAAAAGTCTCTCTCCATCCCTCACCCAGAGCCTGGGGATGGTTGCTTTAGACAGGGCATCAGTGAACACCTCTGAGGAGGGGAAAACTGAGCAGGAACCTAACAGAGAACTCGCCAGCCATGCAAAAACCCCAGGGAAGAGTGTCCCAAGGCAGGAGGAACAGCCAGTGTGAAAGCCTAGAGGCAGGATTGAACCCGGCATTTTCAAGTTGAGGCTTGAAATTATGACCATCAGACTCTCCACGATCCCATTCTGTATGCTACTGGCAACCCCTGCAGTGAGTTTGGAGTGGATTTTTCAAGACCTTTTACTGGGCATGTACACACATGTATATGGTACCTCAGGTGTCTCCTTGATTTTTTTCATACCCTATGTATCGTTTGGCAATTTCCTTTTACTCAATAATGTGTTGGAGACTTCTTTCATGCCACTTACACACCTCATTCTTTTTAGCTGCTACTCAGCACTTCAGACAAGAGCTGTAATGGTTTCACCATCCGTCATCCTCTTGATGGATATTTAGGTTGTTTCCAATTTCTTGCCCTTACGTCACTGCTGCCGTAAGATCCTTGATCAGGCTCCTGTGTACGTATGCAAGAGTTTCTCTAGTGCATGTGTCTTGCTACCGTAGATCAGGCTTCAAGGTCTCCCAGAGTGGGGTGGAGAAGGGGAGAGGATTACTCCATTCTTCAGAAAAGAATTAATGTCAGAGCATGGCCTGTCGAGACAGTTGGTGTGCGGGGGGCGAGCCTTGAAGGTTTTTAAACCTTGAATTTCCTTTTCTTCCCTGGTATTCCTCCTTTTGTTGTGGATGTGCATGACTGGGGAATAAAACTGGTTGACCACTGCAGTGCTTCTGAGCTGAAAAGGAAAGCAGGTGGTGTCACATAAAAAGGGGCAAATTTAAACCAGATTTCAGGAGTCAGGCATTCTGGTTTCTGATTAGCATGAACCAGTTGTGTCATTCTGGGAAGGCAGTTAACCCCCTTGGGACTCAGTTTCCCCAAGTATAAAACAATGGGCTTGGATTCGATATCCTCTCTGGTTCCTTTTGGTGTTGACATCCAGTTTTTTCAATACTTCGAGACTTTTGCCTGAAAGTGAATAGGTATTTTTGTATCACTAATGTAATTTTGTCATTGTAAATTTGTAATGTAACTGTGCTAGTAATGCAGTTTTGTACTGTTGGCTGGAAGGGCCTTTTATTGTGGCCACCTGTGGTGTATAGATAAAATGCTTGCTTGTTTGAACAGACTGTGGGGGTGGCCATAGAGAGGGGGGGTCTAGATGTTCCTGTCATACTCTCTAGTCTTAATACTAACGTATGAGAAAGAGGATGAGAAGTACACGTAGACAGGGCTGCTTTCAAGGGCATGCTTAGAAGGACCCTGTGCTTGGTATAACACTCTGCTGTCTCCATCTTGAAACTCTTAATAGCTTTTAAAAAGGGGCCCTGCCTTGTCTTTTTGCACTGGGCCCAATGACTTATATAGCCAGTCCTGCGTGTAAAGCTTATTACCTTTGCTCTCTGATTTTACAGACTAAAAAGATTCCAAGAAACATGTGAGGCTTTGACATTCAGTGTCCAGACAAAGGTAACTGAATATATCTTTCATGAATGCAAATCTATTTCAGAAACTTGGACAAGATCTAGCTTGGCTGCCTCTGTGTACATTATTCTCCTCTATAGGGAATCCAGAAGGAAACTAGTGCTTGCTGAGCACTATTGTGTGTTAGGTTCTTTAAGCATAAGTTATTTCATTCAGTCCTTCACAACGATGGGAGATGTGTGGCCTCCAGTTATCAGTCAGGGCTTTTGGATGCAAAGGACAGTATCTACTCTGATTAATTTAAAGGATATTAGGAAGCTCACAATAATGTTAGGAAGCCTACAGGAACAATCTCAAAGCTAGGTTTCTCCAAAACCAAGCTGGAGAAGTGGCCTGATGAGGAAACTTCTACCGCTGATGTCATGGCTACAAAGTATTGCTACAAACATAAGAAATTAGATTTTTCTGCAGCCACTGCTGCTACCAGCACCAATGCCACTTCTGCATCAGGAACATGACCTTAAAATCATTGGGAAACTGCGTCTCTCTCACTGTTGCCTTTGGAAGTTGGTTGCCTTGGCTACCAGCTATTCCCTCAAAGAGGGCATCTCCATGCGCGGTGTCTTTCCGAGCATTACTCACTTCTTCTTCTTCTTTTTTTGAAGTACAGTTGATTTACAATGTTGTGTAAAGAGCACATGGAAATGAAAACAGCTTGTGATTGCCTTACTGGTATTAATTAGAAGAAAAAAAGCTGTGGTTTCCATGTAGATGCTGGAAGAGCAGGGGAGAAGGTGAAATAAAAGATTACTAGCGAACTCTAATATTGTTCATAAATGGTAACTGATAGGCAGCATCCCAAAGAAGAGGGGATTAGAGTTATTATATAAAGCTAACCTTAGAACAAAAATACTAACTTTCCTAAACGCCGAGGGGAAGAGACCACTCAAGCAAAAAAAAAAAAAACAGACCACGTAAGTGGATTACTGTAATCTTCATGAGTGTATATAATTTATATAACATAAAATCAATATGACAGAGCTGAGGCCAAGTATATCGATTATATTAATAAATATATATGGGTTTAACTGACCTATAAAAAGAAAAGAGTTTTCGAATTGGCTAACAAAGCAAAATTCACATTACGTTGTTTACACGAGCACATCCAAAACAATACAAATGGTACTTTATTTGTTTTTTATTTTTTAAAATAAATTTATGTATTTATTTATTTATTTTTGGCTGTGTCGGGTCTTCATATCTGTGCGAGGGCTTTCTATAGTTGTGGCAAGCGGGGGCCACTCTTCATCGTGGTGCGCAGGCCTCTCACTGTCGTAGCCTCTCTTGTTGCGGAGCACAGGCTCCAGACGCGCAGGCTCAGTAGTTGTGGCTCACGGGCCCAGGTGCTCCGCGGCATGTGGGATCTTCCCAGACCAGGGCTCGAACCCGTTATCCCCTGCATTGGCAGGCGGACTCTCAACCACTGCGCCACCAGGGAAGCCCACAATTGGTACTTTATTTTTTATTTTTATTTTTTTTGCAGTACGCGGGCCTCTCACTGTTGTGGCCTCTCCCGTTGCGGAGCACAGGCTCCGGACGCGCAGGCCCAGCGGCCATGGCTCACGGACCCAGCTGCTCCGTGGCATGTGGGATCTTCCCAGACCGGGGCACGAACCCGTGTCCCCTGCATCGGCAGGCGGACTCTCAACCACTGCGCCACCAGGGAAGTCCTCCTTTCCCTGTTTTTATGGTGAGCTGACACATGCTGTATTTCCTTCACTCAATATTAGGCATAAGAATGAGGAGAAATGTTGTATTTTACTTACAATAGTCAATATGCGTATTTTTAGATGATCTGCATATTTGACTTGGAAATATCCATGCGAAGACCTCCTTGCTCATAATAAAAATAACTTGATGATTTGATTTTGTCAAATGGAACACTTCTCTAATCTGCTGTTGTCCTAGTCAAGTTTTAAATCCACAGTACCTGGGGATACAAATTAAATGTCAAAGGAAATTAATTTGTCAAGTGGAACACAAACCAGCTGATTTTCTTTTCTGGAGCAGGCCTGACAGCTTTCTGTATGTCATATCAGCATCTGTTAAAATGAGCCGCATATGCCAGAAACCGTGATTGTATCAGATTGCTCTCAGCAGCGCCTATCTGCAA